ATCAGTGGATCCTGCCTTGGAATAAAGCGTACGACGCCGACATTAACCTTAGGAGGTGGAACAAAGCATCGTCCTATTAAATTAATATATAAGTATTAGATCTGAAGACAATATACGAAATAAGCATCAAGAAAAAGAAAACATACTCTGGATTATTTTAGTCATGATAAATTCAAACAACGACAACACCATCTGCAAAATCCAATACCTGGTATTTGAAAAAGTAATTTGGGTTCGGATATAAATGCAGACATAATTGAAATTCTAGCTCGAAATGGGGAATCAATTGGGGCACAAAGACGTTCTGCTACTTCCATCTGAAACGTTAGCAGCAATGGGACACGTCCAAACGACCATGGTCCTTGACGATATAACATTTCACGAAGGAATCTTAAAAAAAAAGGATGACTTCATGCAACGAATGGATGGAAAATGAAAGCAATTATTTTCAGATAACGTCCAATTTCATGAAATAACTAATTCTTCCAATCCTCAATTCTTACAAGCGCTTAGTTCACGTAAGAACGCCATGTATTTCTCATGCTTTTGCAAATAAAGAAGACAAACGAACTTTATAATAAGTGGAGAAGCGATATTGAAAGGTAAATTGCCAATGATATGCGCCATCGGAAGTCTATCCTCTTCCCAAGCAATACGTTCTACTCCAGCTTGGGACCAAATTTGTTCAAGATCTGTTTTTAAAATATCACCCCGATGAATGAACATACGTTCTTCGCTCGCTTCTTTGAGTACCTGCACAACATCAACTAAGCATAATTACATATACAACTCATAATTTATTAACCTCAACTCTTTCCATCTATTCTTCGAGATCATTTCCAATTATCTTCTACATATGCATTCAAATGTTAAAATCATTGCGCAGATATGCTTATTTCTATCATGCCACTTTGTCTTTTGAACAATTTTGAAGCTTCCATGATGCAATAACTTGTCGCTCAGCTTTTACCTCAAGTGGTGGAATGAAGCGATGGTCGATTTCAACGACATCAAGTCGTCGACAATTCGTTTCCAAAATAGCACGAGTAATCGATCCTGGACCAGGTCCAATCTCGACCACACAATCGCCTTGCTTCACTTCCGCTTGTCTTACTATCTGTTAACAGAAGAAACGAAGATTGAAGCCAAAAAAGAAAAAAAAATTACAAAATATTACCGTAATAATTTTACCACTCATCAGTTGCTTACGTCAATTTACTTTTTTGTTTCTACAAAAATTAACTGAACAAAATAATTTTTAAAAATCTCAATCTCATTTCTACTTTAATATGTTGTTTATATATTATGAAAAGACTTTTGTATATATTTGATATAAGAAATTTTTTTCCTTTTATAGCAGCAATGAAAAAAAAAACAAACAATTCGAATGTAATTATTTCTCATTCTCCTCAATAAATCCTATTTCTCGTTTCTCAATCTAAATAGAAGAGCATACCTAACCTTTCGTGTTAAATTCATATCCATTAGATAATTTTGCGAGAGGATTTTCTTAGCTCGTAATCGATAAGCATACAAGAAATTCTTTAATGATGGTAAGGGTGGAAGACGTGAAAAATTCGTCGCCATAACAAATTTTTAGACCCACACTTTCAAGAGTTGAAATAAGCGTCATCCGCAAGCTCATCTAATCTCATTTACCAAACAAGTATCTGAAAATAAAAGAAATTGATGAACTGATTGCTTAGCTTGTCTCGAGACTTTTCCAAGAATATTAGTTTTCAGACCATGAAGATAATGATGGAAGGAATGCTAAATCAGGTCAAAACACTGAAACAAACAAGAAATGTTTATTACATAGGATATGCATTTTGCAAAAGTTGAATAGTCCATTCATCTATCCTAAATCACTCTTTATGTCATTAGCAATACTCGGCAATACCCCACCCATCCATTCTCCTCGAAATATTTAAAATTATCAAATTTAAACTTCAGCAAAAAAAACAGTGAAGAAACGCCAAAATTCCAACTCGCTACATCACACACTCTTCCTTCCCATTTCGTATCAATCTTCTCGTCTTTTTAATTATCATTATTTGTAATTCTTAATACTTTTTTTACTACACGGTCGAATATTTTGAAATCTCTTCAATGTCATGACCCACAAGTAATTAATGATATATGATTTCATTATATGTGACATCATAATTTGCAAATCCTTGTCAAACAGAAAGAAAAAATGTATAAGCCTGTTTCAAACTTCACAACAATAACTGAAATTGCTTTAAATTTTTATTGACTAAAACGTTACTATGAATTATTTTTTCAAATACATATCTAGTGCTAATAGATATTACCCACCTAAAGCAGGATACTGCAAATCTCTTGCTCCACATTCAAAATTATCTGCTCAATTAAAAAAGCAACATATTATGTTATTATGAGCTATTATGTGGTACGTGATTTATTACAATAATTTGATACAAAAATTACAAAAATATATTCATATAGAGTTTCACAATATGTTACTACAATAATAATTAGATTGAAGACTCTGAAACTGACGTGATACAAACGAAGAAATAAAAACAAATGCAAGTTTATCAACTTGATCTAATCATTAATGTTTCTAACCAAAAATAATATTAATGTGTTTTAACTCCGTGTTTAAGAGACATGAGTTCGGCTAATTCTTCTTCAATAGCCTTTATAAAATCATTATAGGCCCGTTCGAAATCATCGTTTATTATCACAAAATCAAATAAACCAGGCTCGGCATCCACTAAAAAATTGGGTTAATAAATTAAACAGCGCTACATCAATCAACCATTCGCTGATTTGATATGAAAAATATCCTACACAAAGCATAAATTTTGAAACAAAAAAGTGATCTAATACAAACCAGCATTTAAATCGTCTTCTGCATGTTTCATTCGTTTTTTTAGAGACTCTTCAGTCTCTGTTTTGCGAGCACGCAAGCGCTGCTCCTAAAATTAACAAAAAGAATTAATACTGAAATTTTCTTAGAACGGCAAAAATAGCTTTCCATCTCAAGTTCTCTGCTTTTAAGATCGCCACCGATATTTTAAAGCAAAATCATATTAGTAAAATTTTTTAATCATACTAGTAAAATTTGATACCCAAAATTCGTTTTTTGTTGTGATCCACAAGTTAACTGATAATAAAAACGCCAGGAATTATTTTACTATATCTGAGGAATGAAAAATTTAAATCTCCCCACCACTGTTCGTGATTTTAAATCCAATACACCACAGATTACCAGGATAAGAGAGTCATTTTAGCCCCCTTTGTTTTAAAATGATGCAGACCTGATATCTTAATTTATTTATGGCAAAAATTTGTATTTCCGCAAACAAGTCCAGAAACAAGTCAGAACAAATCCAGTAAATCAGGCTGACAGTGACTTTTAACTCAGCCTAAATTGTAACAGCAATTCCTGAATAAGTCAAGTATAGGTAAAGAAAAAAAGAGAATTATAAGCACTTTTTCTTTCACATTCCCTAATAATACAAATTTTAAGAAGTTCAGGATAAGCAACCAATATTTCTAGACTTGGCGCCCTGATCAGAATATATTTTGCATCCAATCCACATTTGTGTATACTTCGAACGCCCTGAAGTTCTACATCTAGGATGCATACACATCCTGCTTTCGATACATCGCCCAATGCCTTCTTCCTAAAACATTAATTTTTCTTTTTTTAACTTGAATGAACCATTTTAAATCTCATAATGAACCAAGCAGATAGCTTCTACCCGAGCATAAGCAATATTAGTAATTTAATAAGACGAAATTTTCTCAATAAAACAAAACAATCGAAACGAAACTTACGATGTCCCATACATATTGCCACCAAAAGTTGCATACTCTAAGAATTCATTATCTTTGATCATTTCCTTAAATTTTTCCTCGGTTACAAACCAATAATTCTTTCCATTAACCTCTCCAGGCCGTGGTTTTCGTGTCGTATCTAAAATTTCTCTTTCTAATCACGTCAGTGTATATAGCATAAGTAAAAAAATTCAAAAGAAAACAAAAAAATTTAATAAAACTTTCACTAAGAATTTTTTCCATCATAAAAATGTATCATTTATCATTGCTATAATGTACATAAAACAAATGCGTTAAGACTGCTCACGTGAAATTGCAAATGCAAAACCATTAGGATATTCTTCCATTGCTTTTGCAATCACGGTACTCTTACCTCCTCCTGATGGGCCTGATATCACGATTGGTTTCATCTTGTGACACTTTTTCCAAAATTCTAAAATTAAATCAATTCTAAAATTAAAAACAATATACTAAGAGGAAATATCACATTAAATTATATTTATATATTAATCTGATGTAGCACTCACTTCTTCACAACAGCTAACATAATTTAATTTAGTAGAGGGAGAATTCCCTCAGTAATTTCATAGCTTTATTTGCTATAATTTTTCACACAGACATATGCTTTCTTTTTTGAAGCAATTTTTGTACTCAGAGCAATATCCACGTCACAGCCTCTTCTGAACATATACAATCCGAAAATAAAAATTAAATAATCAAGTAATCAGAGTAACATAATCAGATAGCTTACTTAGTTTCCAGAAACAGTGATAAAACCGATAATCAGCTTCAAAAATACTGCGGTATATGATGAGAAAGTTGACAATAATTCAAACAAAATACTGCTCGAATGCAAGAAAAACTTTGGATAATGAATGAATCACCGTGTTGCTCGTCTGCCTATCTCAGAGGGATCAATACGATGCTATTATAAAATTCCACCGTCTTGGACCACATTATCAATTTATAAGCAGCAGAATTAATTGCTAATACATGCACAGAAACCACTAAAACCTTTCGCATATTGCTCTGATAATTTCCTAAATGTAAACAATTATTAATAAAACTAATAGAGTTCATTCAAGAGTGATGTCGTATTCTTTAAAATGTACATATGAATTCAATCTTTTTAATTAAGCAGAAATTTAAAGCGTGAAAAAAAGTCATCCATTTAATAAACATAAATCGATGATATGAGAATGTTTTAGAGCTATCTTTCAAAAAAAAGTGTGCACAGGATTGATTGCACTTTCCTTCAAAGAGACAATTTTTAATTTAATCTTTTAAATAATTTTTCAACTTTCCTTTTTGATTTTTTCACAAAAGATCTGCACTTTTTTAATTTAAAAAATTTTATTGCAATTTTTTTTTTAGGAACAAGTATTTCTATCTAGCAGCAAAGAGCTGAAGTGAGCTTTATTTGTTTTTTTTTTATTTTTTTCTTCATCTCGTCCAATAAGAATGAGAAGAGAAGAGAGAAATTCTAACATTTGTTATGAAACAAAAGAATTTGTTCCTTAATGAACTTATGCACGATAGATACAAGAGATACCTGTCACAAAACAGATGACTGGTTTGACGTGACTTTCATAAAACGATATACGTCAGCTTCCTTTTGTTTGCCATTTGAACAACATCTTCACTGCTATGATGACAACATTGATGACTAATTACAGCTGTAAAAAAAAAAAAACGGAAATTCAAGGCCATAATGAATACACTGAAATGGAATTAACAACGTTTGTTCCACACGCTCACGTCAATTATGTGTCTTTGTTGTTCCATACGTACGCTCAGCAATGCCACAGAATTAACAATGACACATGACTGACGTGAGCGTACGTCTGGAACAAACGTCAGCGGCCGTTTGTTAAAAAAAAAAATTGAGATTGGTTTTTGTCATTAACCAATTCAACCTATCAATGGCAAGCATGCGCGTTTGTTTCAGCGTTCTTTATTGCAGCTCAAAAGTAAGCGTAGTATTTTTTTATAAATTTAATGTTCTCGAGAATTTTTTCTTAGAATGTGCAGAAATACGATGAAGAATTCTCAGTTATTTCATTAAATTTTTTCTATAGAAATTATTAATGATTGTTTTGTCAAAATTACCAGTTAAAAATTTTTTAACTTTCAAAAGAAGCAACAAGAACAGTGATACGGCGTTGAAAAATATGTTTTCCAACAAATTCAACTGCTAAATTTATTTTTTGCATTGGCAAAAATGAAATTTTTGTTTTATTTAAATTTTGAATCTATTAAAAAATTATCATAGCAACATGTATGAAATTTATTGTAACACATAATAATTATTGTTTTATTTCTATATGATAAATTAAATAATATTCATAATTAGCAGTTAAGTGATATTCATAAAATTGGAGTATTTTAATTAACTAAAATCTAGTAATTATCAAGTTCAAAGTTATTAACCGGAATGGATAAATACATGTAGTTAATGACTTTACAGTTAGCATTAATTATAAGCACCGTTATCACCGGCACTGGAATAGTAAAGTAAATTAATAAAAAAAAAAAAAAAAATTCCTCCATTAGAAAATCGATACACTCTTTGATAACCTATCACTGATAGTTTTAATCATTATAAAAAAGTATTTATTTAGACATACTCAGAATACTATTAGTTGATAAAAAGCAGTTACTGTGTTTGTTAAATACGATTCAATATTATTGCAACAAAAACAATCCCAATAGTAATAAAAAAATTCATTGTTAACAAGTAGAAAAATTATCTGTTAAGTCCACTTCGTTAAATGATAATATTAATGAAATAATGATAATTATAATTACCAATGATCAATAATAATGTCTGCTAAATTTATTACATACTAATATAACTATCATATTACTAACTGTCACACTTATTTCGCAAATAAAAAATTAGTAAAAATTAAAAAAAGAAAAAACAAAAATTGTATGAGATATTAAATAAAGTTGAAATTGTAAATTCATGCTACCATTGAATGATTTTTTTTTATTTCTTTATTTTTATTTTTATTTTTTTTTTTTGTTTTTTCGTTCTACTTTTCGGTTTTTTCTTTCTTCTTTTCATATCTGATTGTTAACAAGAAAAAAATGTGAGAGGAATGTGTAAAAGTAACGATATGATATGTACCTCTCCAACCATTCCATTCATTCATAAAACAATAACAAGTTTCAAACAATGATGACATTAGAATTGGAAATACCGGTTTAATTTCTCTTTAATCTTTTCTTCTTTCATTTTCGTCCAAAGAAAAAAAAAAAGAAAGGAGAAAAAATTTGATAAGAGAAATAGGAAAGAAGAAATTCACTTCATTTTAACCTCTAATTTATTATCAATTCTACACCATTCTGTAATGGTTATTGTTTTCTTTATTTTTACGAAATTTTTTAATACTTCTTCTTCTGGATGTATTAATTCTTCTAAATAATATTGCAATTATAACACTATATGAAAACATTCTTTTTATGCATGCAAATATTATAATTTGCTATTAATGACAGCTAAAATTTTGTTGCATTTAAATTAAATAAGTACCAATTTTTCTAACTCCAAGGACACTGTACATCTGCGATTTTAAAATAGGTATTTTAACAATTTTTAAAATACGAGTTAGTTTAATATGTATGTAAAATAATAATTGGTGTAATTTTTTTTTTGTAAAAAAAAATTTGCCGAAACAATGATCATTTAAAGAATTAAAATAAAAAAACTAAATTTTTTTCAAACCTTCTATTCAGAGAAAAGAATTGTTAATATCTTATTCGATTATTTGCAAATAATTAAAAATTTGTTTCTAATTTGGTAGTATTTATTGGACGTTAAAATATTGTATCATCTTAAGTTCCAATAAATGCTAGAAATGAAATTTAAATTACTTTAGCGACATTTCCATTACTATATAATATACTGTTACGTATGAATAATACTACTTTGTAATTGACAATAATTTGTAATAGGTAATTGTTAATTGCATAGGTTAATAGGTAATTTTCTAGTTTTATTGAATACATTACTATAAAATGATGTTGTTAATTTTGTAAACTCTTTCTCTCTTTTTGCCTCTCTCCCCTCTCTCTCTCTCTCTCTCTCTCTCTCCTTCTCCTTCTCTAGAAAAAAGAGAAATGAAAATGAAAAAATTGACAATATTAGTTGCTTGAAAATTTGACATGCATGAAAATTTGAAATTTCTATTAATTTTTTATTTTAGAAAAAAAGTATTTCTATGAAGATTATTTCCACTTTATGTTAAAGGAAAATGATAGTATCAACTTAATAACATTTTTAGTATTTATATAAAATTTAATTGTTGTTTTGTATAAATTATAAATTATTTAACACTTTGCATATTAATATAATAATTTCTTAAGGAATTTTCAGTTGTTTTGTTTACTGTTAGTGATAACATACTTGTGTGATATCGTTTATACATGAGTATATACATATATGTAATTTCCTACTCTATTTTTCTCGTACTAATTGCATTCAAGGAAAATGCTTCAATTACAAGCGAAATTAAGAGGTTTGATTAATTGTACACTATCATAATTATAATTGTAATCATGAATTCTTCTCATTGTAAATTAATATGTAGTTGATATTATGAATATCATCTAACAATATTGAAATGATTTATTATTACATCAATAATTGTTGACAATACATCACATTGTATCAAAATGTGACATAAAATTGATGAATAAATTTTGATAATTTTAAAGTTAATTTAATGCTTGTTTTTTTTTTTCATTCTTCTGCCTTCATAATAATTTTTTATATTTAGAACTTATTCAGTACTTCAAATTATACCTGAAAATGATGAGCAATTGCAATTTTTGTCTACAATTTATCTTACTGATGATGAAATGGTATCATTTTTTTTTCTTTTCCTTATTTCTTTTATTTAATTGATAGATTTTAAAATAATATAAAAAATAATAAATCATAGTTGAAAATTTATGTTATATCCTTGTAAATATAATTAACTGATTGAAATGGCGATATAACATAATTTACATTTAAAATGGAATCAATCAATGTATTTTTGCCGTTTGCAATTGCAAATAAATAATTTTAAATTCAAGTTTAACAAAAAAAAAAACATTAGCAGAAAATATTTTTTAACTTAAATTATAGGCAGATTTTTGGGAACCACCAACAAGAATTAATGAAACCATCTATGTTATGATCCATCCAGGATTTATGGATAAATTTGATCAATTGTTAGAAAACAAATCTATTTCTTATCATGTTGAAATGAATGATTTTGCGCAGTACGTATTATCAGCCAATATTTTTTGTCATAACGATAAGCTTTTATTTTCCTGATTAGATGTGCTTTTAGTCTAATCAGTTTTATTTTTTTCGAAAACGCTAACTAGAATTCATTATTATTAACAATTCATTTTT